ATGTGAAAGCACAAGGCTTGCGATGACAGGGGTGCTGTGTTTTCATATGGATGTTTGGGATTCTGGGATGCGAAATGAAGAACCCATGCGTGTTCATCATGATGTTAGGATGTGTTGAATTTATCCACCTCGAACGAGAATTCGCCTCAGGAGCCCTCCTCTAGCGAGAATGCAGACATGCATTCATATATAAATGCACACATATACCTACACATGCATACATACAAACAAACAAATATACGTCCATACATATATATACAGGCCTACATACACAAGTACAAATGTACTTACAACCATACATACGTCCACACATACATGCATACATACATGCACACGGACAAATAAACATGCATCCATCCACACAAACATACATACAACCATACACACAACCATACATACATACCAGCACACACACATGCATATGTACATACATTTATGCAAACAAACATACATATATACACATACGGCCAACCATACACCCATACAACAAATAAACATGCACACGCACATACAAGCATGCATACACACATACATACACGCATACATACAAAGAGGCGCGCCTACATTGTTACATGCATGCATACATACAAGCACACATACAACCATACACCCCTATAGACACACATAGTCATGCACATAGAAAACACATACACACATACAAACATGCAAACATACAGACATACATACACATATACACATTCAAGCAGACGCACGTACATGCATGCATACACACATACATACATGCATATATACATACAGACATACATTCAACCATACGTACAGACATACACATATACCTCCATACATGCATACATAAATGCAACCATACATGAATATGTACATGCATGCATACATACATACACATATACATACTGCGATATATCCATACATGCATACATACAAGCGCACATGTAAGCACACATACTTCCATACATACAAACAAACATACACACAATCATACCTACATGTAAACATACAGACATACAAACATATATACAAACACACATACTTACACGCATACATACAAACATGCATACATACAAACAAACATACACCGAACTACAAACACACACAGACTTCCAATCATACAAAGAAACAACCATACATACATGCGTACAAACATACAGACACACACATACATAAACACACACGTACATACCTACATACATACATACACACATATACATACATACATTCGTACATACATACATACATACATACATCCATACATACACTCAGACAAGCAAACATGCATGCATGCATGTATACATACAAACACGCATACATACAAACAAACAAACAAACACACATACATCCATACATCTCTATACATACATTTGTATACACACACGTGGCAGGACCCAGCAGTCTGCCAGCGACGCAGCGCCACCCGCAGCTCGCCCATGGGACGGCCCATGGCGCGAGGCATGCGGGGAGGGCGCGGGACGCCCGCTGTGGACCGCCGCCACCGCCATCCCCCCGTCCCCCACGGCGCCCGACGTCGTCGTCGTCGTCGCCGTCGCTCAAAAAAGCCCCGGCAAAGAACTTTCGTCAACTTTCGCCCTCGCGGCCCCCGCTGGGACTCCGGGACCGTGCGGCCCAGGACGATAACCCGGTCCTGGGGAACGGGGAACGGGCCAAGACCTGTGGGTCGGCTGTGGGCCCAGGGGGGGAGCGAGGGGGGGCGGCCCTCAGACGAGAAGTTCCCTAATCCTTCCCCGAGGACACAGAAAGCTTCTCGGAAGGCCAGAAGGGGCTTCTGAGAAGCTCCGCGGCCTTCTGCGAAGGCCTTCTCCCTCTCATTTCCTCCCCCCCCTCGCCTCCCCTCCACCTCCCCAGATACCCGACGTCGTAACTTTTGTCGCAGTCGACCCCCGAAGATCTCGCCACCAGTGCCGGGACCGGCTGCTCTTTAGCGGCCCTGGGGCCCGGCGAAGGCCCCCGGAAGCCAAAACGGACAAGACCCCCCCCGCCTTCTGAGAAGGCCTTCTCCTTCTCACTTCCCCCCCCCCCTCGCTCGCCGCTGCGTGGGGGTCGACGCTGCGAACAAAAAGCACGACGTCGGAGGCCTGGGCCCCGCTGCCCCCCCGAAAGAAAGGCACACGAGGGAACACCCGATGATTCTACGAGCAGTGCGTGCGAAACGGGAGACAGGCAGGGCAGCAAAAAGGTGGGAAAGTGAAGAAGCCCGCGAGGGCATGGAGAGGCGCACAGTGGCGAGGTTCCCACGCACCCCCACCACCTCGCCTCAAGCCTCTCCCCCATCCTCCCGTGGTATGGCGCGCTATTCCGCCCGTCGGGGTTGTCCTGGCCGCAAAGACTCCCTGCAGCGCCAACGGCGAGTCCACGGCCGAAGAAAGCTTCATGTGGACTCTGCTCACATCATTGTCCACTTCCTCCTCCTCCTCCTCCTCCTCCTCCTCCTCCTCCTCCTCCTCCTCCTCCTCCTCCTCCGCCTTTCATTCACCTGTTCCACACCACCCAACTGAACCTGCGAGGGTGGCGGCCGACAATACTGGCGTACGATGCTCTGGGCTGGAGGTGTGGACTCTCGACTGCATAGATATCGGCGACAGATGCTTGGAATATTGACGTACTGACCTGCGTGCTCAGAGATGGGTGGCCAACACTTGGAAGATTGGCGGCCTAAACGTGTGAGATCGGCGTATCATCACATGTGCCTGAGTGTGTGAAGAAATGGCATCCGATGGGGGTGGAAGAGTGGAAAACGTTACGAGGAGCAGTGGAAGGAAGCCGAAAGTGAACCGCTGCAACCCATTCAATTAAGAGGGCACAGAGCACGACGGCTTCCCGTTGCCACCACCGAGTGTCCAAGCAAGCTGAATCCACGCACAACTATGCGTCCTTCCACCTCGTTACGTTGAATGGGCATAAATTATACAACTGCTGGCAACAATTGTAAAACGTGTGCCAGATGATTGCACGTGGTATGCATAAGTTATACCTCGTACAAAACGCAGCAGCCTGTTGCGTGTGGCATGCAACAAGTAAGACTTCGGCGAAGTGAAAAACGCGAGAGGGCCTCAACACATAGCGGTGAAATATTGGCAAATAGAGCGCGAAAAGAAAGGTAGCCCGCTGAAGCGCAAAGCATGCGTGCCAGACTTCCGTGAAGGGGTGGTGGAGGTGATGATGGCGCCTTCTTCCTCCTCCTGCTGCTCCTCATCCTCCTTTTCCTCACTCCTCCTTACCTTCTCCTCCTCCTCCTCGGGTTCCTGGTGGCCGGCCAGACGGCCAGACAGAATCCCACAGGCCCTCGAGGGCGCAGTGGGTTCAGAGCGCTTCCTCTTCTAACCCCTTCTTCCACCGGGGAGTGGTCTGCCCCTCCCACCAACCCCTCCCCATGTCTGGACGGGGGGTGGGGGGGGGGCGACCAGTCAGAGGGCCCAAGACAACCCACGATGGCTCCAAGAGGGCCCCGGGTAGCCCAAGATAGCCTCCAAGACGGCTCAAGACAGCGCGAGATCGCTCCGCACAGCTTCCAACATACTCCAAGATGCTCCGAAACCGCTCCAGGACGGGTTCAGGTGGCTTTGGGTGCTCCCTGGCCTCAGGACGCCCCCAAGAGGCACAAATCCGGCCAACACCTAGGGACAACCAGTCATTTTGGTCTTCTCGCTCGCTCGCTTCCGATGTCCATCCGAGGCCTCAAGATGGCTCCAAGATGACCCAGGAAGGCCCCAAGAGGGGCCCAAGAGGCTCCCAGGAGGCCCTCAAGACGCCCAAAGAGCCCCCCAAGAGCCCCCAGGAGGCCCCCAAGACGTCCCCAGAGGCCAAAAAAGGCCCCCCAGGAGACATCGCACGCGGCTCCGACAGGCATCCAAGAGGCTTCCAGTTCCCGTGACCTCTGGCGCGGGGCTCCGAGGGGCGGGGGGTCGCAGGCCCAGAGGTTCACACCAACGCCAACATCGGCGGTATTCCTCCACCGAGGGAAGAGGATCCCGATCTCGGTGGTGGTCATGTTCTGGCCTCCAAGGTGACCGAAAGACTGCCACCAACGCCGAAATCTGGGATCATCTTCCCCCCGTGCTGCGTTGGTGTGGGTGCCAATTTCCAGGCCTCAAGGGCCGGCCATCGCTCGGACGTCCATTCCCTGTGCTGTTTTCGGTTTCGTGCGTTGTTTTTTTCGCCTAGTGATCAAGGATGCTCCTCGATCGTCCTCGCCGAAGGAGACATGCACACGTCCGAGCGGTGCCGAGAGGGAGAGGGCGGGGGGGGGGACACACCCAGGCGCGCAGGCCAGCGTTGGGCGGACCATCTGCGGGCCCACACCCAGCGGGGTCCCGGCCGGGCCCGGGGCAAAAAAGCACCCTTCAAGAGCACGAGACCCTGCGCCTCCTCCTCCTCCGCCTCCTCCTCAGAACACGCAGAACATCCAGGGGCACCCAGACCCAAGCTGCACAAGAGCAGCCAGCGAGCACGAAGAACAAACAGTACCGTAAGGGTGCCCTCCCCGAAGCGACCTCGAGCTTGCACCTCGGTCCGATCGTGTCGGGTCCCCGATGGTTTTCGGGCCATAACTCGGGCCGCCCTCGGACGTTGGGGGCGATTCGGGCACTTCCAGAAATACCTCTCGACGAAGCGCAGCTGCTGAAAGATACAGTGCGAGCGCGACCGCAATAACCCCCCGCAAGAAACCCAATCCTGTAAACCCGCGGGCGAGGTGCACTGGGGGGGGAAACCAAGGGCACCCTGAACGCAGGAGCTCCTTCAGTGGCCGCGGGAAGTCGCCGCGCAGCGCGCGGAGCGAAGACACCCAGAATACCCTGACGAAAAACATATGATTTCTTGATGCGCGCCCCCCCTGTACTCCGAGGCTGGACAATCTCAGGAAACCAACGGAAACGTCCAGTGGGCACACGCCCAAAGGGCATCCAGCGAATTCAAGGGTGCCTCTGACGCGCAGCCGAGCCACGCGCTGCGGCTCCCTCGCGCCCCCCCTTCCAAAACAAATGCAGCCACACGACGACGCGCGCGGCCTCCAGAGCCCATGCGTGCGCGCCGTGCAACCCAGGGTAGGCGTCGCGGTAGAAGTCGCAGCGCAGGCGTAGCAGCCTGGGGCCCAGACGGGAGCAGGACAAGGAGGAGGGAACACACTGGACTGGGCCCCAAGAGAAGGGTACGCAGGCGGCCAATACCAGGAACGAAAGAAAACCCGCCCAACGGCAAGATCAATCTTCTGCTCCTGACGGGCGTTTGCTGCTGCACTGCGTCCGCCACTTAGTTCCCTTCGATCCTTCCGTCCCCCCCTTTCGTTCCCAGACCTCTCCCTCCACCTTCCCCTCTTCTGGCCTTCCTCTCTTCTCCTCTCTCTCCCATCCCTCCTCTTGCCTGCTCCACCTCCCGCACGGGATTATGAAGACCTGGGAACGATTTGCCTAGACTGGACGCATGACTGAATCAACGCATGACTGGGGTCTGATCCTCACGAAGGCGCACGGGCACGAACGCACCCAGGCGCGGTCACGGGCGAATTGGGGGAGGGGCTGCTGCGCGCAAGTGGGTCGGGGCCGTCGATTTTGTGCCTCGAGCGGTTTCCGACAGCGGCGGCGGCGGCGGCGACGACGACGATGACGACTTCCCTGACGGCGAGGTCCAGTGATCAGAACGCGCGACGGCCAAAACGTCGAACGCAGAGGACCAGCTCAGTACAGTTCTAGAAGGAGCCGCAGTCCACTCTGCTAAACTTGAAGTCGTCATCTCCACTGCTCGCGCAAACATCCCACCGACCCACCCGCAACTTGGTTTGCAAAACCTCTTAAGACCGACTACGACGACACCGACGACAGCGACGACGACGACACCGACGACGTCTCCGACGACTTCGACGACGGCACCGACGCCGACACCGACGACGACGAAGACGACGACGACGACGCCAACGAAGACGTTCAATGAAGTTCTAGGAGGAGCCGCCAGAGGAAAGTTTCTAAAGGCGCCTCCCCCCCCTGTCGCGCCAGCCCCGTGCCCTGCGCAAGTCGTCCACGGAACCGTTCGCTGCCCGTAACCAATCCGCCGATCCGGCGTGTGAGTTTCAGGGGGACGGGGTGACCGGGGAGGCTCTGCCGGGGTAGGGGGGGGGGGGAGGGGTCCGGTGGCATGGGTTCCGGTGGCGTGGGGAGGGAAGAGGGGGGGAGATCTCCCGTCCCGCCTGTGGACAAAGGGAATTGGGGGAAGACGGGGGGGGGGGGTCTGGCGACCGGTGTGGCTCTGCCGGGGTCGGGGGGGGGTTTCCGGTGGCGTGGAGGGGGGGGGGGCCCGTCCCCCGTCCCGCCTGTGGACAAGGGGAATTGGGGGAAGAGGAACGGGGGGGTCTGGTGGCGTGGGTTCCGATGGCGTGGGGGGGGGAAGGGGGGGTCTGTAGCGTGTGAGTTGGAGGAGCGTCAGCTACAGCCTCGAGGTTGAGCTTCAGCCTCTGCGTGGGGGGGTTGCCGGGGTGGCTCTGCCAGGGAAGGAGGGGGCGCGGGGGGGGGTGCGCGTGTGCGCGGGGTAATGTTTGTCCGTGCACGCGAGAAGGGAATCGGGGAAAGAAGGAGAGAGAAGTGGAACGGGACAAGAGCGGAAAACGGGGAACACATGGGGGGGATGTGTGTTGCCGGCGCGTGCGTGTGTATGTGCCTGTGTGTTGCCGGCGCGTGCGTGTGTTTGTGCCTGCGAAGGTGGCGCGCGTGTGTGTGAGTGTGGTGTGTGTGTGTGTCTATGGGTGTGTGTAGTGTGTGTGTGTGTGTGTGTGTGTGATTGTGTGTGCGTGTGCGTGTGTGTGTGCGTGCGTGCGCGCGTAATGTCTGCGAGAGTGTTCGTGCGTGTCTGTCGGCGAAGTGTCGCCGCCCAGTCTGGGGGGCACCCCAAGCGACCCGGATCGGCGGCACTGGCCGAAGGCCACTACAATATTGTACAGGGGTGCAGTGGTCCGACAGGACCCGTGCCAGACAGTTTTTCTTTCCCCCGCCGTTCGGATCCGCCCCAAACCCATCGAATTCGCATCGGATCCGTCCAAGAAGCGTCGGATCCGCATAGGATCCGTGGCGGATCCGCACCCGGATCCGACGCCCGAGGCAAGGTTGACACTCCCGGGCGGGGACCCCCGTCAACGTCTGCAGGGGGCCACTGCACTCGTTTTCGGGCGTTCGACGCCGTGCCCGTCGGCCGCGACCTGCCGCCAAACCTCCGTTCCCCTGGCTGGCTGGCCCGACGGTCCCAGGCCTGGATGGGCCGACAGTCTGGCACTTGCGTGCGATTTGAGACTTCGGGCCGAGTTCTCAAATCTTGCTAATTTACCTGACTGTCTGTACCAAGACATGTTCCAGAGCCTGGTCCCGTCCCATGCCTCTGGGTGACGTTCCTGCCCCCGCGTCCGCTTCCTTGCCCTCTTCCTCTTCCTCCGCCTCCTCGTCCTCCTCTCCCTCGTCCTCCTACTCCTTCTCCTCCATCTCCTCAACGCATAACATCATGCTATGGCTCCCTCCTCCTCCTCCTCCTCCTTCCGCGGCCGCGCCGATTCTCCTCCTCCTCCTCCTCCTCCTCCTCCTCCTCCTCCTCATCATCATCATCATCATCATCATCATCATCATCATCATCATCATCATCATCATCATCATCATCATCATCATCATCATCATCATCATCATCATCATCATCCAAGCGCTAGTGTCGGCCGCCGCCCGCGGAGCCGCGGCCGCGACAAAAGGCTCCTCCCCGCTTCCCTGAAGGAAGAGAAAACAACATGAGAACAAACTTTCGGAACCCTTGGCCGGCGCCGGATCGGCGCCAGACCCCTTTGGCGGCGCCTGGCGCGTTCTGCGCGCCAATGCGGGGGGCCCAGCGCTGATCCAGAAAATCCACGCGGAGTTCCGAAAGATTATGGTCATGCACCTGTTCCTCGTTCTTTCCCCCTCCCCTTCCCGCCTCCGCGCTTCGCTTTTGGCGCTCCGTGCCGGGGGCCCAGAAGGCCCAGACAGGATTCCCCGTTCCTCCTCCTCTTCCTCCTTCTCCTCCTCCTCCTCCTCCTCCTCCGCCTGCTCCGCACTCCCCTCCTCCTCCTCGTCTTCCTCCTCATCGTCGACCTCTTCCTCCTCCTCCTCCTCCTCCTCCTCCTCCTCCTCCTCGTCCTCCTCGTCATCCTCCTCGTCTTCCTCCTCGTCGTCGACCTCCTCCTGCTCCTCCTCCTCCTCTTCCTCCTCCTCCTCCTCCGCCTCCTCCTCCCCCTCCTGCCGCTGCCGCGTTGATTATCCTTCTTTTCCTCCTCCTCCTCCTTCTCCTCCTCCTCCTCCTCCTCCTCGGAATTCCTCCTCCTCTTACTCCTGGTCCTCCTCCTCTCCTCCCCCTCCTCCTCCTCCTCCTCTGCTTCTCCTCCTCCTCCTCCTCCTCCTCCTCCTCCTCCTCCTCCTCCTCCTCCTCCTCTTTTGGTCATGAACATGATGAGAATGTTAATGGCCATGACAATGCAGATGATGAGGGTCAATCTGCTCGCGCGAGAGGGCACTGCCTGAAAACATGGGCACCCATGCCGGCTGCGCGTGCAGCCGACTGCCGCGTGGCACGCCTGAATCACGCCTAGTTGCTACGAGTGACGCCACTCTGAAACTCTGATCGGGAACGCAACTGCGGGGAAGCCGAGGCGCCCAATCGCGCGCGGCCAAGCTCGGCGGCGGCAGCCAGCAAGCGCGCAGCACGGCGATCAGAGCGCCAGACCGCGCGGGCAATCGCACGGAGCGCGAAGCGCCCACTCGCGAAGAAATCGACGACGCCCGTGTCCGGCGGGAGCTGCTGCAGCTCATTGCTGGCGAGCTCGGCCGCCGTGGCCACGATCTCCTTCGCGGCATCGCAGCGGCGCAGCTCGGTCACGGCGTCGAGCTCAGCCTGGGCGAGCATCTTCTTGGGGAAGGTGTTGCATGTACTTTTCCGGGCGGAAGACGAAGTCGGGGATGGGCGGAAGACGAAAGTGGGGATGGTGTCGATGGCGAGCTGCATGGTGGCGAGGTCGCTGAGGCGCGCATCCGAGGGGGGCGCCGCTTCCGGTGCGACGCTGAGCTGGCAATTCAGGCACGGGGCCTCGTGACGCCGCGAAAAGTGCGTCGGGGTGACGGCGGCGATCCCGATGGCGTCGTGGCGCGTGAGCTGGCGCCAAAAGGCCTGTTTCTGCTGGAAGCGGCTTACCTGCGTCTGCCTGCGGACTCCAGGCTGCGGGTAAAGGCATGACTGTGAGGGGTTGTCGGTGACATTGAAGTCGCCCATGGAGGCCCGTTTGCGCGGTTTCGCCGGGCCCCGCTGCGCGCGGGACTGCCGCGCCCTCTGCGCCGCCTCCTTCTGGGGCACCGTGCGCTCGCAGTTGTGAGCGTCGGGGGCGCGGGTCTCCGTCTCCGAGCTCGGGTTCAGGATGCGGGCGAGCACCATCCTGCCAGGAACCGCGACGTCGCTGGCCACGACGGGCTGCAGGGAGGAGGGGGGGGGGGGGCGCCCGGCGGCGCGGTCTCGTTGCAGTAGATCACGTTCAGCGCGCGCGAGCCCAGGGACGAGCGCGGCCGCGCCGCCGGCGCCTCTCGCGAGGCAGCCCGAGAAGTTGGCGACGCAGTGGGAGGAGCACGGGTTGCGGGCGAGCGCGCCCTCCAGCTCCGCGAGCGATCCGCGGCGCCCCTGGATCGGGGCGACGGTTCGAAAGCGGGGCGCGTTAACGGGGCGGCGAAACTTGAGGCCGCAGCGGCGGGGATTGTGACTGAGGGGTCCTCTTGCGTTCCCAGAAACGACTTGCAGCGGTGCGGCTTTCGTTGTGGCCCTCCACGGGTCCCCGTTAGTGTTGAATCAACCGTGATGAAGTGTCAATCGAGACGTAGGCCGACTCGAACTTCGGCTTGATGAGGTCGTCGTTGATGCCCGTCTGCGTGACTGCAGCGGGTTTCCAGTTGAGCTTGGACTGCTCGCAGAGACCCTGCGGCGAACCTCCGCGATCGGCATCGCCCTCTGCCGCGCGATGCCCGATTGGCGAAACGCCCTGGACTCCGTGCCAGGGCGGGCCCCGCCCAAGATGACGGCGAGCCGCTTTGTTTGGAGCTAGAGTCTGACCTGCTGCGGCGACTTGTCCGCGGAGTCGAAGAGAGGGGCCCTGGCGCCGCGGACATTCCGGGCGCTGAACCGTCGCCGCTGTCCGCCGGCAAGCTTGAGGGAGCGAGCAAGCGCGAGGGCCCGAGGATGTGCTACCTCAGACCCGCATTGTGCAGTTTGGTAAAATCGACGAGCTGGGGCGTCTTCAAGCACTTTGGCATGGTAGGGGTGGAGCTGGGCATCTTGCACCCACTGAGCTGAAGAGCGTCCGATTTCTGCAGGCCGCGCATTGCCGGGCGCGCCAATGCTGAAAGGGGTCGGGCTGGGCTCGCGGTCGTATCTGGCAGGGATGGCGAGGCCAACGGCAGGAAATTGAGCTTCAGCGAGAGGGGTGTCAGCTTCGAGCCGCGGGACAGATTGTCGCAGCGCAACTTGCTCTTCTGCTTGTGCTTCCTGTCGGCGACGGGTACTGCTGAGGCTGCGTTTAGCGCTCTCAAGTCGGGCCTGCTGCGATGGCGGAGCGGGGGTCGGCCTGGACGTTGGACCAGGCGTGGTCGAAGACGTATCTGAGCTGCTGGGTGGCGAGCGTGGGCTGGTTGTTGGCAGTGCCGCCAATGCCCGCGCGAGACCCCGCAGGAACTGCTCCGTCGAGTGGCCGTGGTAGGCGTGGCGGTGGCTCATGAGGTCCAGGTGGCGCTGCGTCCCGAGGTCGTGGCGGACAAAGGATGGTGGGGACATCTGCGCGATCACGAGCGTGTTGCGGACCTCCAGAGTCTTGGGCAGCAGGAAATTCGTCTTCAGGGAATGTCGAGGACATCTCCAGGACATGAGCCAATCGATCGCGCTCCGCATCGCCGATCAGCGTTGAAAGCTTGCTATCGAGAGCGAGCTGGTGGAAGCGAGTGGGAGCGGCCGCTGTCGGGACCAGGAACTTGTACAACGCCCGTGGAACGAGCCGAGCCTCGAGTACTGGACCCAGACCTGCCGGACGCATGTGGCCATTGCTGCACATTCCCAGTCTCGCCATGGCCCCGAATTGCCCGATCCAGCCAATGGATCTAGTCCTTGGAAGGGGGTTACGGCGTTCTGCGGGACCGCCAGGGGCTTCACGTTCACGGATTGCGTCTCGTCGGTCTCGAACGCGGGCGCGGCGAAGTGCGAAACGTTTCCACTGTGTCCACCGCTGCGCGAACCTCGCGGGGGGGAGTTCGAGCTCGAGCTAGAAGACGGCATTGCGATTGCTGTGCCACACACCTTTGGCTGTCAAGGGCGCCTTTGTTGAAGCAGCCCGACCCCAGCGCCGCAAGGACGTAGAATAGCAGGACCAGCTGGCCTCGTGCACGAACGCCGGCGAAAGCAGGACTTGAATGTGAAGGTGCCTCGGGCGGACCAGGCCTTGAATATGGAAGGACCTGGGCGGACCAAGACTTGAATCTAGACTGCATGGGGCGGACCAGGCCTTGAATGGGAAGATTGAAAGAAACGCTTCTGTCGAACCGTGCTGGAAGGGCTACCCCGCTGAGGCAATGGATGTTTCGCCATCTTGGCCTGGAACCAACATCGCTACATAATGATGATGGTGATGCTGATAATGATGATGACGACGATGATGGTGATGATGCTGATGATGCTGATGATGATGCTGCTGATGATAATGGCCATGGCGGTGATGATGCTGGTTTGTGTCCTCCTCCTTCTCCTCCTCCTCCTCCTCCTCCTCCTCCCCCTCCTCCTCTTATTCCTCCTCCTCCTCCTCCTCCTCCTCCTCCTCCTCCTCCTCCTCCTCCTCCTCCTCCTCCCCCACACCGGCAACCCCACCCTCCCGAAGGCGGGGTTCCTACCTGCATCGGTCGGCCCGCAGGGGGTGCAGCGCGGCCATCTGCTCCCACGCCAGATCGGCCAGCACGTGCTGCGCGAAGCCCCTGTGGATGAAGTCCTCTCGGGGCCCGCGGCCGACGCTAACTCACAACCCTGGCGGCAGAATGTCCCCCAGAGGTCACCTCGCAAGAAGCCTCCAACAGGCCGTCGGGAAGCCCAGACAAGCCCTCCCATGTGCACCCAGGAGCCCTCTAAGAAGCTCCGAGAGGCCCTGTCTGGGGGCCGGCGGAGCGGCGTAAACCACCTGGTTGAATTACACCACCGGCGGCAGAATGCTCCAAAGAACTAAAGAGAGCGCAGCAGAGAGCCCTGCAGAGAGCGAAGCGTATTGCAAGGAGAACCCACGTGCGACCACGTCGCTCTCTCTCTCTCTCTGTCTGTGTCTGTGTCTCTGTCTCTGTCTCTCTCTCTCTCTTTGTTTTTTGTTGTTGCTGTTGTTTTTTTTGTTTGTTGTCTATCTCTCTCTCTCTCTCCATATATATATATACAGCTGTTCCCCAAACAGTGCTGGCACTTAGGGGACCTTACTTCTGAAATAAGGAGTCGGGCCTGTGTGTCGGTCTGGCAGCCATGTGGCCGCCGTCGCCGCCCCATCGCCGCCCCGTCGCCGCCCATCGTCTGAGATTGTGCGTCGGTCTGGCGGCCATGTGGCCGCTGTCGCCGCCCCGTCGCCGCCCATCGTCTGAGCCTGTGCGTCGGTCTGGCGGCTCTGTGGCCGCCGTCGCCGCCCCGTCGCCGCCTCGACGCCGCCCATCGCCTGGGCCTGTGCGTCGGTCTGGCGGCTCTGTGGCCGCCGTCGCCGCCCCGTCGCCGCCTCGTCGTCGCCGCTTTGTTTCATTTGATTGCATTGCTCTGCATTGCATTGTTTGCACAACATGTTGCACCACATAGGGCATAAACTGCGCCACATGGTTTGCACCACATATATATATATATATATATATATATATATATATATATCTGCGTGTGTGTGTCGCACCACACACACACGTTGCATCACACACATTGCTTCACACATAGAGTGCACTACGTAGATTGCACCACATCGGCTGCATAACATGTATTGCGCCGCATAGGCTGCAAAACATGTTTTGCACCACATAAAGTTCCAAATAGTGCATCGCATATATAGCGCACATCTATTGCACAGTAAATACTGCACCACATAGAGCACAATGCATATTACAGAAGTTGCACTACGCGATGTTTGTCACACCTGTTCCACAACATAGAGAGCACAGCATACATTGCATACCACACATTGCACACCACATATTGCACAACATATATTATATTGCGCATCGTAGATTTTACACAACAGGTTGCACAACATATGTTGCAAACCACCTATTGCTAGAAATGTACTGTTTGGGATCCGCGCTGGCTCACATGTCTGTATCCGCCACCATGCCCTTCGCACGAAGTGGAATGCCCTAAGGCTCACAGCTGTGCTGCTGCTGCTGCTGCTGCAGCCAGGGTTCTAGTCCGCTCGGGACTGGACACCCGGTTTCCAGGGTGCTTCGGGGCGCGGCCAGAAGCTCTGGGAGTTCCTGGGGTGTGTAGCGTGCGTCTTCTGGAAGCCAGGAGGGGTGCCAAAAAAAGTCCAGAGGAACCGAGGAAACCGCGAAGACGGCCCAAGAAAGCATCGAGTCGCATCAAGATCGCCCCAGATCCTCAAAATGGCTTGAAGACGGCCAAAGAGGCCGCCAAGAAGCTCCAATGGGGGCCCAAGAGCACCCCCAGAAGGGCCCTAGGAGGCCAGAGTCGCAGATTGTCATACGATCTTGAAAAATGTGTGCCTCACCGCATATTTCAAATTGTAATGCTCCAAGACGGCCCCCAAAAAACCCGAATAGCGCTCCAGGGCTGCCCTGGAAGCTCCCAGGAAGGCCCCGAGACGCCCCATGAGGGACCCAAGACGGCCCCCAAGACGGTTCTAGAGGCACCCAAGAAGGCCCCAAGGGGTCTACCCGAACCCCCCAAATCGTCATTCTCCATGCAACATCTGCTATAAGGGAACATGTTCTCGCGGTTTGGCTCCCCAGCCCAGTGCTGGGAGCGCCCAAATGGATTTTCACCCCGGAACCCTTCCAGGGTGAAAATCCATGTGCGCCCCCCGCAATGCAAAAAGGCACTCTCGGGGATTAGCGGGGGTGAGTGCCCGAACTCTTAAATCTTAATGTCCCAGAAATCTCTTATTGAGGCGACTTTTCTCGCGGCTGGGCCCCCGCAGCCCAGTGTCGGGATCACCCACATGGATTTTCACCCCAGAGCCGCTCCAGGGTGAAAATTCATTGGGGACCCCCACCAAGGCAAATCTCGGGAGCGCTCAGATGGATTTTCACCCCGGCAGGTGAACATCCATCTGGGACCTCCCCCCATGCACCATGCAAAAAGGCGCTCTCGGGGATAAGCGGTGGGTTGCACCCGAGCCCCCCAAATCGTCATGCTCCATCATGGAATCTGTCGTTGGGGTGCCTTTTCTCGCAGCTGCCCCCCCCCAGCCCAGTCTCGGGAGCGCTCAAATAAATTTTCACCCCGGAGTCGTTCCAGGGAGAAAATCCATCTGGGTTCCCCCATGATGCAAAAAAACGCTCTCGGGGATAAGGGGGAGGGTGTGCCCGACCCCCGCAGATTGTCATTTTCCGTATGAAATCTCTTCTTGGGGTGCCTTTTCTGGCGGCTTGCCCCCCCCCGCCAATGTCGGAAGCGCTCGTTGCCCTTCCGGAACCGTTCTGGGATGAAAATCCATCCGTGAGCGATGGGCTGAGCCCCAAAAATGAATTTGTTCCATCTGAGATCTCTTATTGTAATGCCTTTTTCTCTCGGCTGGGCCGAGCGCTCAGATGGATGTTCACTCCAGAACCGCTCCAGGATGAAAATCATCTGCGACACCACCAGTGCAAAAAATCGTTCCCAGGGATAAGCTGTAAGGAGCCCAGTAAGGCCTTCTGCAAAACAACAAAAGAAGGCCTGCTGCAAGGAGCCCAATAACGCCTTATGGAAGGAGCCCAAGGAAGCCTTCTGTCAGGAGTTCAATCAGGCCATTTTGTACGGAGCCGA